TATATATTACTGTTTTGGAAGTTAAATGTATAAATTCACTTACAGTAAATCATGAACTTCAAGCTGTATTTAGTTTTTATCTGTAGAAATAAATATTCTGTATTGAAAACAGATTAACGTGATTTGAGTCGTGAATTAACTTGATTGTTTTAAGCAGATTTTATTAAACAGATGAAATTCATACAAAGTCTTGTTCTCCAAAATTCTGTCTAATTTATTTGTTTGACGCCGATTTCCAGCTAGTTTCAATACAGAAGGCAGCTGAAAATTTTAAACTATAGACTTAAAAATAATAATAACTTCGAAGAAAAACTATACTTCACCCCATCAGTATGGATGACTCCCTGCAGGGAAAACAGATCAAGTTTTGCTTTAAAATGATCTGAGTTTTAGCTATTTTTGTGTTGATTAGGGTTGATTAGCTGCGATGATCATCCAGAAGATAGCAAGCTGTAGATGTACACAGAATGATTATTCAGTAATTTATGAGATATTTTGCTAACAGTGCAGGAAAATGAACACAAGCTCACTTTTTTAGCAGCAGGCCATAAAAAACAAGGAGTGAGGAGACGTGCCCCAGAGTGTCAGATAAAACCAGCTGATAGATTTAAAATACAGGTCACCAGGTTTAACCATAAAGTTTCAGCTGTTTTAAAAATATTTATAGTTCATAATAATCTCTACGACCCTCTAAACCAGAGGTCTGCAACTTTTACAGTCAAAACAGCCATTTCTGCCCCGTGGCTCACAAACCAAATGTGTCCAGAGTAGGGTTGGGCATAATCGTATCGTGTGCAATTAATAGTCAGAAAAACATTAATCGATTAGTTTTTGGCACTTGATGATTAATATGATTAATGCCAGCAGGCAGACTGACTGGAGGTTACTCCTGTTAGTCTGCTCGATGCTCCTCTCTGCTTCAAATATGATGAACATTAAAAATAAAGTTCTGTAATTTATTTATCTATAAACACAGTTTAAAACATGATGTACAGCCTGAAATTTGTAATTTTCACACAGTTTGGAAGAATTTTTTACAAAGATCAAATCTTTCTCACTAAATTGGTCATGTGACTATGAAATAAGGGTGTCCAGGGACTTCAGGGCATTAATCGTCAAATTAATCGTTATCGGCTAAATACCACAATTAATCATGATTTATTTTTTTGCCAATATTACCCAACCCTAGTCCAGAGACATGAAATGTGCTACAACTTGTGGGCCGCGTCGTTTGTTGAAGGAGGGCTTTTCTGGTCAGCGGGAGTGATTTTACAAAGCTAAAAATATTTACTGAAAATTAAAATTTATTATTAGTTTTACACTTTAAAACAAAATAAAATACCATATTCACATAAACAATATAGTTAATGCAAGTTTGGGGAAAATGTAAACACTGAACTTTGCATACTTTTTTGTGTATTTTTCACATATTTTATTTTTCCCTAATTCTTGATATTTACGGACTCACTTGTTCATAGCAAACTGGGAAGGGGGGGGGGGGGGACCCTAAAAACATGTTTATGTCTTTGAACATATATGTAGGCCCAGTCGTCATTTCAAATTTCCAAAAATCTGCAATGTTGTTGCATGAATGTCAATTTGGTGAAACTGCATTTTAAAATTTGTGCATTTCATTTTCCCACAACTCTGGATCTCCAGCAGAAGTAGCTCTGTGAGTTTTATTAATGAGTGACTTTTCACAGTTGCTCAGGTTGCGATTGCACATACAGTATCTTGKTTTTTTTATTTTCAGAAGTTTAAAAATAACTCCGGTCTGACTCGTAGAAAGTGTTGCAACCTGAAGCGAGTTGAGATGGTGGAGATGCGATGAAGATGTTAAAGCCTCAGCGAATCCCCACGGCCGGCTTCATTCTCATGTCGAGGCCTCTGTTCCGACCGCACAGCCAGATAAAGGAGCCTCATTTAAAACCTCACAGCAGCCCGTGGCAGTGACAGGAAGACATGTGAAGTTCAGAGCTGCAGATAGAAAGTTTCTTATTTCCTGTTTTCGGGTGGTCTCTTCTGTTTCCTGCTGTATCACACCAAATCTGTTGATTACTCTTTTTATRTATTCCTATTTACATGGTTCTCTCTGACCTGTTTCCACGTGTAAAAATAAGTTAAAGGCATACAGCTGCATGCGTGTCAAAGGGCTGAAGACCCCCACAGATGCTTCTCAGACCACAGTGACGCATGATGGCAGAAGCTCGGTGCAGAGAGATTACCTGAAACTCGGTCACAGTCAGATGTGTGACGTGCCGGCGGGTTTTATCACTTGTACCATCAGAGCTCTGTTGCTCCAGGCTTCATTCTGTTGTTTCTGTGCGCAGGTGTTCGTTCGAACATTAAACTAGAATGCAACGGTTTGAAAATCTCCAAAAGAGGAAAAGCTTTTCTCAGTGAACAGTTTGTGCCACCCCTGGGTTTTCAGTGCCCCCCTTCCCAGTATTCTGGAGGCACCCCTGTCATTTTTAAATAAAATTCCCAGAAGCCAAATTCTCCGTTCAGAAGTTCACCAGATAAACACGAACTTCATCGTTTTGTTTTTTAACGCTTCTCTCCTGTTCTGTGATCTGCAGAGGTTTTCTTCACAGATCCGGTCATCTGCTACTTCCTGGATGCGTTCCTGATGCTTTACTGCATCGCCGCCACGGCTCTGTTCTTCAGAGAAAAGGTGATTTGTTTTTTTCAGCACAAAGAAGACAGGATTAGGAAGACTGCTGGATGAGGGATTAACAAACAAACAGGCCGTAATATTCTGGATTACATTTAGAAAGTTTGCCATAATTAAAGTCTATAAATGTTATTATTTATTATCTTTTAACAGATAAAAATACAATATTTTTAAGACTTTTTGTTTCTAATAATTTATTTATTGTTTTATAAAAGCCAGTTTGTTTGATTTTGACACATTCAGTGTTCATTTATGCACCAAACTCTCTAAACGTAACCAACAATATTCCTGTCAGTGTCTAAACAACAAGTGGATTATTCTTTATTTAAAACTTTATTCTGCTATAACAAACTTTTTTTGCCCCCACAAACTCACGGGGGAATATATCAGTGAGTAAAATTTCAGAAAACTAATAATAGTTAAATTACATGCAGCAAGAACAAATCTTGTATTGTCACTTTTTAAAGATTTCTGACATTTTCCTTAAAAAAACTTGTTTTCAAAGTTTTTATTGTTGCATTATGGTACTGATGTTTATTTGACTATTATAATTACTTGTTTAGTTAAAACTATATTTATCAGACAGACCTAGTAAAGGTGGGTTAAACKGGGGTTTTTAATTAATGTTTTTAATTTTATTTAAATTTTTTAATTTATTTTATTGTCGTTAATATTTATTTGGATACCTAAGCCAAATGTAAAACCACTGCCCTTTTTATCCTCAATTTCTCATCAAAAAGGGATACAAATGTCATAAGGGAGGAGAAGATAAAAGCATGTGATTAAAAGCTCTGTAAATAATTTTTACTTTAAAGAACTATGTATGTAATCCTGCTCTGATCTTTGTTTCATCCACATCCAGTTCTCAAAAATGCCACGAGTCGATTTGATTCCAGTAAGTGGTTTTTAAGCTGTTTTTGCATTTAACAAACATCTGTGTGAGAATGTGTGCATTAAAGTATTTTTATGTTCTTGTTCCATAATAATTAGGAGCCAAAAGGGGACATTTATCAGGTAAAGATGATCGCCTGAACTCTCACAGCCAGACCTGCTGTGATTTTTGTTAAGTTTATTGTTTCTCTTGGTCTGCAGGAGCTGGAGAGGCCGAAGGACACAGATCCYTACCAGGCTCTTGAAACGAGGAGAGTCAAGGTGGGTTCATCCTCTGAGGGTCAGTGTTTTTTCTGTCACACCTGTTCAGCTCTCATTGTGTTGTCTTGGGTTTCTAGAAAAAAGACGGCAAGAAAAAAAAAGCAAAGGTAAGAGAAAACGGACGTTGTGATGGATTTATTTTAGATCCTGATTGAAATAATTAATTAATAATTAATATTTGTTCATTGGACTGGGTTCAAGTTTGGACAACATTCGTAATAAAAACAAATATTTTCTCAGTGGCACCATCGAAATAATCTTTTAGTATTCTCTTTTTTTTCCTGGGGTTGTAAGATAACACCTGCCCCATTAATCATTTGTGTAAATGTTATGAATAACTAATATCTTACCTGTTGCAGATCGCTGTTTGAATGAACTCCGGAGAAATACAGCTGAATTCTGATCATAGTTGTCTGTTGCTCTTGGTTATGCTGCAGATGGAACTGATAAGTGTAAATTTACAGAGAAACTTTCTGATACTAACATAACGTGATGTAAAATAACAAACATGAGGCCTGGGCCACTGAAAATTTCTTTTTAATTTCTTGATTTAAAATAAGTCCAGACTTTTTTTAAGGTTCTGGAAATACAGTTTTGACTTCTCACAACCTAACTGTTGAAGATAGTTCGGTTTGGAAAAGAAGAAAAAAAAGTTCATTCTAGCTTGACTGATGAGCTAATGGCTAGTCTGAGCGAGGCCAAGACCAAAGTGGTCCTCAAAGTCCAATTCAAAAACGCAGGTGTAACACTTTTTAAAACTCAATTTTTTACATCGCTGTTGATTTTAAATATACACCTTTAATCCAGCAAAAATATTATATTCTGCAGGAAGTGACCTCAGACGGCCTCAGAGGTGCTACAGCTAACTGCTGCTGCTAAATGCATTTGCAAGTAGCTTCTATGTAAACTTTCAAGTAATGTGAAACAGCAGCTAAATGAACGATAAAGTTTGGAATCGTTTTAAAACCAAAATCTTCTCTGAATTCTCCTCTAAAAGTTCGGAGGAAATCCATTTAAAGAACTTGTCTGATTTTTAAAACTGATAAAAGCTCTGAAGTTTCTAGTACAGGTAAGATATTGATTACTGATATTTCCACAGACGACTGTGTACTGAAAAGAATAACAATCATATAAAATACAAGGAAAAACTAATTTTATTTTTGTCAGAAAGGGTAAGGCAGTTCAGTAAACTTTAATATTAAATAAAAAACTAACTTTAAAAGACTGTAAAGCATTATATTTAAATAATACGTTTTATGTAATCATGTAATTATGCATTAATATATGAAGCTTTTGTAATTTTCCTAATATAAGTTCTTATTAAATCAGACTGTAAATATCACCGTGTTTTAGCTGTGTAAGAATYCACGAAATGTTGAACTCTTCTGTTTAAAGAGTTTTATCTAATCTGGATTAATTCAGTCACTTTCTTCCAATGATCTAACGAAACAAATAAAGTGACTTTTGTCTTTTTCCTGTTTCAACAACAGACACAAAACCAGCAGAGAGACATGGATCCATATGAATGTCTTCCCAGCACCGCTCCAGCTTCTCATCGCTGATGATTTAAACATTTGTCTTAAAAAAAATACTTTGCTTCCAGCTTTTAATTAAGATTTTCCTTCTTCTTKTCTGGGACACTCTTTAATTGCTAATTGAACTTTTTACACTTTTGACTTTTATATTATTGTTATTACACTGTAAACGGACATGTAATAAGCATTTAGTTAAATATGTAATAACTCTTGTATTTTAAGTGCAACTTTATGCATTTCTGAAGCCCCATAAAGACCAACCACATCAAAACATTTGGAAAATGGTTTAATGAAGTTTACAACAAAAAGAACTGTACATTTACAGTAAAAGATTATCTTTGTATGTGTATAAAAACAAAAAATACAGCAGACAAATGCATCAAAATCTACTATGTATCCTGATTCACATACTTAAAACTCCTACACAATCTTTCATCACTACACCGCCATGACTGGAGGCTTTTGTTTTTATGGATTTTTATGTTTTTTTTTTAATTTTTTTATTTTGTTTTGTTTTTGTTTGTAATCAGACCAGAGCAGTGTTGTAACTCACGGTGAAAACCAAAACTCTTTACATTCGAGTCCTGGAGAGCGTTTATATTAGACTGCAGAGTAAGAAAAGAAGGGAAATAAAACACATTCCTTTAGATAAGCCCAAGTTTCCAAAGTGAAATGTTTGCACAGAAAAGCATTTCTTGATACACTGACATAATATGTACATGGTTGGCATTCTGTTTTTTAATCCATTTTTCTTTTTTATATTGAAAGCAATGATCACTTGGACTGAACTGATATTTGCACACATTACACACCCAAAAACATACAAAAATACTAATCTTTAACCTACCAAGAGTAAGACAGCTCTGCAGTTAGTTCCATGCTGTGACAGAAGAAAAAGGTTACAACAAACCAGAGGGGAAAAAAATGCTTTTTTAAAATGTTTCTTTTTTTTTTTCTTCTCAGAAATATACCAAAATATACATCTAAGCTTTGGAATTACTGAGGCTAGGACTAAAGCCAGTGCTGGGTTTGTCTCTTAATACACATGCTGTAGGGCAGAGAGGAGAGAAAACAGACAGAGACACACAGGACAGAGATATCTTTGGTATCTGCATTTGTCAAAAGTTTAAATATTTGGGTTCTTGCTTTGGGATTAGTGCTTGTGGGGTCCTGAGACCTCACCTGGAGTAAAGCATTAAACAAAGTGTCACTGAAGCCCGTCGGTCTGAGCCCGAGGGACACAGTCCATGCAGAGTGAAGGACCATGGTGCATAGTGTCACAGCTGATCAGAGTCTGTAGAGAAGAGACTATGGAGGAGGAGAGGTGTCCTTGAACTACAGTGTAYGCATGATAAAGAAGAAAAAGCTTCACTACAGCCTCAAAAGAAAGAAGTGTGAGGAGGAGGAGAGGGGGAATCCTAACAGAGCTCAAGACTAAACACATACAAAGTCCTGAGCAGGTACAGTGTGCACAGGATCAACCCTCAGTGTGTATTAACAAACATCACCAGCTCATCGCCACCTTGGTTCGTGCCCTTCAGAGGCCCGCTCTGGTCCCGACCCTCCCATCCCCACCCACAGGCACTGAAACCGCTGCACCTGACAGGACGAACATTCAACACGGACCACAAATCCAGACTATAGACGAACCGAAGGGACGTGTGCAGCCCGGGTTTGATGCTGAGCAGTGAGGTGAGGACGGGCGAGATGGTTGGTGTTGTTTCCAATACAATCAAGTTAAAAGTCTTTGGTTAACGTTGGTACCACGAGAGGCCGAGAGCGGGCGGCCYACGACGGCGCACAAGTCATGCAGGGGAAGACGTGCACACATACCTGTACCGGGTCCGGCTGGGATTTAACTAAAACAGGATTGTCAAACTTAAAACAAGCGTTCAAACACAAAAGGTTGGGAGGGTCAGAAAAATAAGTTATGTGGCAGGAAAAGCATAATTTATTTAAAAAAAAAAACATTTTGCTTGATGCTAAAAGACATCAGTTTGCAGCAAAAATACAAAGAAAGAGCAGATGTTTGTGAGCACTGGTGTGATCTGCTGCCACCTTGTGGCAGAACCCACAAAGTACAGGTATGAGCAGGCCTCTCCATAGACAAGTTTGAATATTGTTTTTATTTTTTTTATAAACACGTTCCTTATTTCTTAAGTATATTAAAGCAGGTTTCACTCAGTTTTGAGCTAGAAATGAGGTATATAACAGTTTCTTTTGCTTTAGTGGCGCTCCACATGTCCTTTCTCAACATTACAGACGAGACAACCAGTGAGGTGGGCTGATGTACTCTGAAAATTCATCTGGTTGCTCCACGAGAACACCTACAAAAAAATAAAATAATAATTATCTGATGATCACCTACAGACAGTGAAGCACTAAATGCCAGGAAATCAGCTCACAACCATAAAACCTGACCACAAACTATAGATTTATAAAAACAAATCCAGAGCTGGCTTGGAAACAGCTAGCTAAAAAAACTTTGGTAAATCAGTAGAGGAACCCAGAAAACAAGTACTCAAACTGTCTAATTTTCTTAAGAGAAAAAAATAATGTGTGCTGGAAGATGGGGAAAATGCACCATAAAAAGACTCACTTTTCTCTTTATGAGACAAATACACACAAACAGACCCAGTTGCCAGAATTATTAGTAAAGCTTTCCTCTCAGGTATCCCCAACCTGTTTAAACCTTAGAAAACAGGTGGCAACGTAACCACGACTACGTCCTAAAATGCCCCAAGTCCACCGTGCTGCTTCAGTGAAAATCAACGCGTCGGCTGAGCTCGCACACCAACAGAAACATAATGCTACAATGCTCACGTCTTCTACGTAACAATAAGGCATAAACGATAAGGTTAATCTTTTCCGTCAAACTAAGAAAAGCCAGTGATCTCGCCCTTTCACACTATACAAAACAATCAAAAAGGCATAAAGTTTTTAAAAAAAATGATTGTTAACAACAGCACAGCAAATTCAAACCACAATAATTAAATCCATAAAGAAAATAATAATAATAATATTAAAGTCATAAGATCAGTTATTCAGAGACAAACCCGCCGCGTTAAAAAACAGCTCGCTGAAACTTCAACCGAGTCGATCAGCTCCTCTTCTGTTTTTTGGTCAGCATCAAAAATATAACAAAGAAAAAAAAAGATTGAGGGGAAATATTTTCGAGTTAGCATGATAAACACTACATTCAGTCTTGATAACATACTAGTTCAAATATAAAATATGAATATCTTACAAGTGTTTATATATATTTATTTATATATATGTATATGAATAGAATTAAGAAAAGATCATTTCTCTAATTCTTAAGTCTTTCCTCAGATAAATATTTCAGTAACATCCTATGATGCCAACTGCTTTGTCGTGCTAGCGAGCTAACAGAGCGCACTGGATCGGGACYGAGCGTCCTGGGGAGCCTCTGGAGGCCCCCGAACACGAAGAAACCAGCAGCACGAGCAGCCAAACAGACATCCACCAAGCTGCAAGGAGAAAGGCTTTTACTTTGGCAAGAAAGATAAAAAATAAAATAAAAAACAAAACTATATATAAACCAGGAAATACCCCGTAAATAGTAGTACTAGAAAATAGCAGTAGTAGGTTGTCTTTTTTTTTCTTTATGTACCGTTCCTATGAATGGCGAGCCACACAGTACATTCTACAATGGTCTACACAGAAATGTCTAAAGGTGAGTCCTATGTTGAAATGCTGCTGAGGTATATTCAGTCAAAAATAAGAAATAAAATAAGGATAATGTGGACATTTCACTGCGCACATCCACAAAATAATCACTGCAGTTGTTTAGATTCATGACGATGCTACGTTTTTGTGGGGTTCGAATAAAAGCGTCTAATCCCAGACAGCTGCGTCGGGAAAGACAGTTTGGCAGGTTTTAAACTGGACCACAGGTGGATCAGTTCGTTAGTGGATGAATTTACAAAGGTGAGCCCTCCGGCAGGGAGGGTCGGGACTACAAACCCTGATTCTCACAGGGTGTAGTCGTAAAGCTATAAAGGAAGCATGCAGGCCTCTCGACAGCTCGGCTCCATCAGGAGCTCCAGCAGCAAGTTGTTAAGCTAAGTTTTTGTGATCCGGCAGCACCACATCGGGAAAATCTGGTATCGACCGAGATGGAGAGTGGAAATTGTGTGAACAGCAACTYGTGTGCTCCGACAGGCACAGCAACTACTGAGGAAAACCACTTTGGTTCAAGCTGTTGTTTTATGGCTGAATAGTGGCACAAAACCAACAAATTAACCGCTCCACTATGGTTTAGAAATGCTACCATGAYGGATTAGAGGGAAAACAAAGCCATCAAATAGCTCACAGAGAACCAGATTAAGCATTCAGGGTGAAGCCCAGGTGGAAAAATAAAAATAAAGTTAAATAATTTTACAACCCAACCCACCAATCTCCCTCATTTTTGGTCAGTTGTGCTGCCAATTAAAAATTGAGATGAGACATTTAATCAAATGAAAAAATGTAATCTTTGGAAAATGATCATTAAAATATTGCATTTCTATATTCTGTTGACAACAAAGAGAGAAAGTTTGTACTCATAAATATATTGACTAGACTAAGCTACACCGACTACACACAGGAACGATTTTAACAAATATTTTTGGTATATCTTAAAGTAGGTATTCATTCGTCCCAAAACAGGCAGACTGCAGCTCATCGATCCAGTTTTTTTGGTACAGATACTGTGCACAAGTAGATACGACAGTACTACTATTAAAAAGAAAAACATAACTAAATATCCCCCTATCAAGCCAACGCCACCGTACAACAGGGTCAAAAACTAAACACACTGCAGATTATGGTGGACCACACAGCTGAGGACGCACACCAGCGTCAACTTCCTGCTTCTGATTTTCAACACCATATGTTGTTCGTTCAGAGGCAGACCAGCGTGTCTGCAGCTCAGTCTAAAGCTCTAAATGTAACCTTTTAAGTCATTTTCTGTCAGTGTCGATACTCCACACTCAGACCATCATTTTACAAAAGCTTGGTGGCGTCTTCACCACAGCAAAAATGGAAAAGTCAGTGTTTCCAGAGAAGAGACTCAGAGAGAGACACATGCTCCTTCTGACCCTTAAAGCAATGATAACCTTTATATATCGGCCACTTATTACTTATTTTTAAAGCCTTATAACCACGATTAAAAAGTGATAGTTAAAATTAACTTAATATTAGTAYTAAAAAGTTCTTAAAATATATATAAAAACAATAAACAGTAAAGATTAAAAAAARTTTCTAAAGTATAACTGATATGATTTACATCAAGGCCTGTCAAAATAAAATAAAAAAAAACATAGTGATGAGCAAACTCCTGTTAGAGCCGATGAGCGTTGTGAAATGAGTAAAAACAGTTTAGTTTGAATGTTAAATGAGAAAAGTTTTTGGTTTTAGTTAGAAGTATTTCAGAGAAAATTCTGACCTGCAATCAGGAAGATATATATGTACAACATCATGAACAGCTTGATGGTGCTGTTTGTCTTCCTTGCAGCAGGCCAACAGTGTTTGTGAAAAACGGTTCAAACGTTTAAAAAAAAGTATTAAACTAAACCCAATTATATTGGAGGTTGTTTTCTTTTTGGTGGCAGCACAAAGATTTAATTATGTCTGATACAATGTAAAAGAGTGTGGGGTGGGCAGCGAAGCACAGAGCCTGTGTCAGACCATCACCTCGACCCCCYACATAGTGTGACAGGAGTAGTGTTCAACGCAGAGTCAGCTCAGGCCACAGCCTGAGAGGCTTCACTGAGCCTTGGAGGCAGTGGTGATGGTCGAAGTCTGCACAGGAACGGCAGCAGAGGCGGCTTGATGGTGGGCGTCGGTGGTGACATGRAGCCCGCCCGTCCCGGTCGACACCAGGCTGACGGGGTTGCTGGTGAGCAGCGACAGATTCTGGGGGTTCAGGAAGAGCGGCGTGGTTACCAGGTTGGGCGTGTTAGCAGCAGAGGTGTTGGCGAACAGCAGGTTACCAGCRTCCAGAGACGGGAGGGAGATTGTGCCGCCTGATGCCAGTGCTGCAAAGTGATGAACAGTTTGAGAGCTTTTACACAGAGCTAGCATTTGTTTTTACACATAAATACAAATTAATCTAAAATATGAGGCGTGATTTGATTAGAAATTAATTCAGAAGGTTGTTTGATGTAGTTCTGTAATTATCTTTTCTTCACAGTTCARTCCAGTCAAATTAATCCAGCTATTTTTTAAACAAGATTAATCTTTTTTGTTTGTTTGTTTTCATTAAATTTGGTCCTTGTTGTGAAAAAAATTTTAACCCCATGGCTAACACTTAATAAAAATAAACAAAAAAACAGAATGAATATGTATGTTTGCAAATAATTAGGAAAAATAAAAGTGTATTTTGCAATGAAATGCTATTAATTTACAGTCATTTATCCTCATCTCTTCCCACCACACTCACAGGTATGACCTTTTGAATCGGGTCCAATTTTCTGGATTTACCAGATAAAACAATTATTTCTCTTAAAAATGCATTTTTGTATGAACTGTATCAGAAAATATCTGAAGAGCAAATATAGACTATATTGTTGTGTCACTAACCCACACCTTGTATGGTAGCCAGGGTGTTGTTACTCATGAGAGCAGGACTGAGAGCACTGCTGAGCCCCCCGGGAGTCAGGCTGAGAAGGGCCCCCCTGAACACACAAATAAGATCATCCAGATCAATAACAACACTTTAAAACAGACAGAACGTCACTGTTTATCTGAGTGTGGCGTCTACGAACCCTGGAGCGAACTGGGGTGACGTCATCAAGCTGGAGTTGAGCCCAGCAGCGGCAGCAGCCATGGCTGCAAAGCTGGAACTGGTGGACAACTGGGCAGCCCCCTGCAGCGCTGCAGAAAGGCTCGGAGCTGCCACCATCACCTGGCCCGCCCCTAAAGTCGTAGCTACAGACGTCGGCGTTTGCGTGACAATGGCATGCAGGCCAGCTTTGCTGTCCGTGGATGTGGACTGAAAGGTCGTCGTAGACGGACTTACAGATGGAGAGCTGGTGGATGTGGCATTGACGGGTGCAGTGGAAATGACAGAAGCAGTGTTTGTGCCGCCAACTGCTGTGCCTTAGAAAAGGAAACAGAAGAAATTCAATTCTCCTTTAGACTAATCCTGACACACGTAAGATGGTTTTCCATGCAAATTCACAGCTTTCGCTCATTTAGCAGACACATTGTGCTCAACAGGGCTCAGTATACACAAATTACTTCCCATCTCAACCTGCACTTCTAGGCTGCAACTGCTCATCTTCAGCTGTGCTTAGAAGCTAAAACTATTTAAATCTACACAAGACAGAATAGAAATAAACATATTCACTCAAAAATATTCAAACCTTTCTTCATAAATAACAAGTTTTAAAGGGTTTTACATAAGATAATGAAAAAGACCAGCAATGCTTTTCTATTTTCTTCTGTTAAAAGAATATTAGATGATACAAGCCTCCTACTTGACCTCTTAACCTTACAGCTAATAAAGGAGCAGCTAAAACATGTCAGTATTCAGTCAGTTGAAGCCATGAAAAATATTCATAAATCTGTGTTTTCCAAGTGAAGCTAAAATGTATGCAGACAGCAATTTCATACGAAACGTGTGTTTTTAATGTGTAATATTTCAGTCAAAGATCAGACAAGTAAAAAACAACAAAGAATAAACTCACCTGTGAACGTCACACTGGAGACGCTGGTGCTGGTGAGAGGCATCACTGGGTTTACAGTCAGTGTGGTGGATGTGTTAATAGATGGACTGCTAACAAGGCTTGCTGTGCTCGCCACCTGAGGAAGAACATTATAATCTAAGAACATTGCCTTTGATATCCTCCACTCTGAAAACATAAACCTAAAACAAAACTGATGCTCGAGTACGTGTAAAAAACTGTTTCAGTCCCAGTGTGCTCATGTTTACCAAAGGGCTACTGGGGGTAAAGATGGTTTTTATGGGGGTGTTGCCTCCTCCACTGTTGCCACTGCTGGGTGGATTGATCCTCTTCTCTTTCTGTCGACGATTGCAGAACCAGACCCGAATCACCTCCTTCTCCATGTTGAGCTGGTCAGCGATCATCGTGATCTCTTCAGAGGTAGGTTTTTGGTTCTGCTTGAAAAGGGCAAAGAAGCCAGGGATTCCCTGTAAGCACTTTGGAAACTGACATTTTTTTATATAAAAATGTTTAATTGCATAACAATAAACAAAACTTTTTGTCAAGATCAGCAATGTGGACTTTAGGAATATGAGTATCTCACCTCCAGAAAGCTCTTTTCTAAGGCCACTCGAATGTTGGTCTCGATGCTGGTCCTTTTCTTCCGCCTGCGGTTGATCCCCTCTATGCCCATGCTGGGAGAGCCCAGGGCACTGGGGCTGGACAAGGCCTGGTCAGACGTCAGGTTCTCTGCACAAACAGCACCGACACAAACACAGGGAAGAGAGGTAAAGACGAGGCATAGAACACAAAAATACAAGCCTGTCGAGTAGTTTACAGAGCTGCCTGACGCCTCCTGCACAACAAAAACAGGAGTGTTAAAATTTCAGTGTTAAACTTTTGGGTGTTGATTTAACACTCCCTAGTGTTATTTTAACACTTTCTGAGTACACTCACACCCAGTGTTGGTGTTAATTCACAGAGTTGATTTCCTCGGTGTTGTCTCAAACACTGGACAGTGTTAAATAAGCTCCACCCACAGTTAAGTCTTATGTAACACTTAACAGTGTTGTCATATGACACCATGCAGTGTTTAAAGAAGTATTCTGAAAAGCCCCGCCCTCTTCCACCTCATGTCAGACAGACCATCATTTACCCATCATTCCTTGCTGAGAAATCTTGCAGAAACGATGTTTTTGCATGTTTATGACCATTAAAGACGTTCATGAGAGTAAAAATTAATTGTTCTGGTTAGTTTTCTTGTTCAGTTTGATCAAGTTGTTCAACTTTAAGTTTATGTTTTTGGCCAAAAATTGACACCATGAATGAGAGGTACTTCCTGGTGTGTGAAGAAGGGTGACTCCATTATACTTTTCTACTAACTAATGAGAGTTGATATTAACTCTTGAGTGTTAAATTTACACTCAGTTTGATGGTGTATTAAAACTTTGTGGTGTCTGTTAATCTTTCAAACACCACAATTTCCTTTGTTAATAAAAAATAATAATACACTAGTGTTCCTTTTAACACTTTATTTTAACACTGTTGAAATGTTAATGTGACACCCAGTATTGTTGAAAATTAAACACTGGTTGGTGTTAAATTAACAAAAACGAGTGTTAAAATTTAACACTTTCACAAATGTTATTTTAACACCAGCGAGTGTGGACACAGACACTTTGTTGGTGTTAAAATTAACACGGTGGGTGTTAAATTAACACTGGCATTTTTGCTGTGCATGCAGCCTTAAAGCCTTAGGAGTGAGAACCAGACTGGGGTTCTAAAAAAAGCCAACAGGTGCTTTATATCCCATGCCCATTACAGGAGAGATCATTCAAGCGGGTTCAGGGACTAACCTGCATCATTAAGCCACTTCTCCAGCAAAGGCTTAAGTTTGCACATATTCTTAAAGCTCAGATTCAAGGCCTCAAAGCGAGAGATGGTAGTTTGGCTGAAGTCATTTCCATACAGCTTCCCCATGGCCAGACCCACGTCCCCCTACGAGACCGAGGGAAAGAGAGAGAAATACGAGTTGCATAAATTATTAAAGTCCCTTTGGTCTCCTGGCTTTGATTAACGCCCTAAAAACGAATCTCTGTTCATCAAAGTTACATATTTAAAAGTCTTTTTTTGTCATCCATAAAAATCTTATTGTACCTTAAAAATGCTTACATGTGACTTTAGACTTTAGTCTGGATCTATAAATATGCAAACATGAAAACAAAACATGTTAGGGTTTAAATAGAAATACTGGAGCGAACATCTAATGCCATACATCTAGTTTGGCCAGGGAGGCATTTACACAAATCTACATATGAAAACATCCTCAGGTGTTCATAGTCCAAAAAAAACAAACAAAAAAAAACACATTTGCAAATCTTGATATAACCGAACCTGCATTTATTAACCAAATGGTTTCTGAGCTACTCACCTGAGTGAAGCCCAGTTTGATCCGTCGCTGTTTGAATGTCTTGGCAAACTGCTCCAGCTCCTCCAGATCACTGGGCTCCTCCAGAGTGGGGGTGTCCAAGCGTTTGGGTGGGGTCTGACTGTGGGGTAGGGTCTGAATATTTGTGGCTGCTGTGGTGCGGGAAGGAGACGCAGGCTGCAGAGACAGAAAAACAACAAATGTGATTGTTTTATAGTTAGGAAAGGCTTGTAAAGATTAAAAAGAGTAGATGTGAAAAGTGTATTTGCAGCATATTGTTTAGAGTTCAGAAAAGGTTCTTCCATCGTTACAGACCTGGGTTGCGAGGGTGATGCTTGGCTGAGTTGGATGAAGGTTAGCTTGGCTTTGAGGTAGTTGAGCAAGAAGACTCTGGGCTTGCAAAATGCCTTAAGAGTCAAAACCAAATGAGAAGAGGAAGCAAAGAAAGGTTTCAAAAACAATTCAATGCTTAAAAGGGGCAATATCATGTAAAATCAACTTTGAGTTTTATATCATGTTATAATGTTATACTCTCATAAAAACATGCCCAAAGCCTTGCTTTGACTCATTCATGCATGTTTGAGAAATCCTGCAGCTTTTTTAGGAAGCCATAMTGAGGAGCAAAACAAGAGGTGGGGACCAGAAACGTCTTTTGGTACCAGAAATACCCCTGGGACGTGTCTTTAAGCCGGACTTCCTCATGGCGGAGCGCCCCCACCCCACCCACACACACACCGCCCATGACTCCTGCAGGCTTGGTGAAAGTGAAAGTGAAACTTAAACTGTCTGCTGAGCTCCCAACATTAGTTCCACTAAGTGAAGCTCTTTTCAGATTAAAAATACCTTTGAGGAAATGTATTTTCAGATGCCAAGTAAACTGCACCATGGCAGCCCCACCCCCACCCCCACACTGAAATGGGACAGGACAGAAGCAGAAGGAGGTTCTTAAAGAGACAGAGGCCAATTTCAAGGCATTTAGAAGAGGAAGTGATGAGAAGATAAGTTTATTTTCTTTTTAAACATAAAAACAGCATTTTAATAACAACTAAAGGTGACACAGATACTTTATTATGGTCTAGTATTTAAATATATGCCTGAGAAACACACAATATTGCCCCTTTAAAATCTTTCTCTATTCTTAATATTCCATGCTGATAAACTAAACGTGAGAGAGCTTTACTCACCTTGTTGGGCCGGCGGTGGTTGTGAGATGATGAACTGGGCGGGCTGCAGTGGCGTAGCKATCGGGTGGCCCGGCTGAACCAGGACAAACTGAGGCAGGCTTAAACCTTGTGGTTGTAGTTGCTACAGAAAAAAAAACATTACTCATACCAAAAAATATTTTTACTTGAACTGACATATCAAGTGCTTTAGACATTTTGATGATGAATGGACAATCTTGACTTACGGGCGCAATCTGGATGGGCTGTGACAGGGGCAGCTGGGTAATCGGTGTGGCTGCGGAGGCTGAGATGTTGGCCCCAGTGGTGCTGTTCTGTTGGCTGGCTGAGTGCTGCATGGCAGCAGCCAGGAGCTGGGCTTGGGCCTGCTGAATCAACAGCTGCTGCTGTGCTGGGTTCAGCGTCAACTGAACAGACGTGCCAGAAAAAATAGAAAGTGTTACAGACATAAGGTTAGGAACCACTATGACAGACTAGTAAGTTTCTGTCTTTAGTACCCATGAAAAGTTAACTGAAACAATAACAGCTATACGTTTATTGCAGAACTGTCTTTTTCAAGCAGGATATTTTTGCCTGTTATTATAGACRCAAATATGGATGTTTCAATTGTGAAACTTTATTACCATAAAAATGCACATTATTTAAACTTGCCTTGCTCTAGGACTGTCAACAACATGATATAAACTTGACTATTTATTTTTGCTGGCTGTTCAGCAAATAAAACTATTCTAATAAACTGRTTGTTGTTTTTTTTTATTTTACTATATGTGCACAAACATCTTCAAATAGGGTGTTAGGCAACAGTTTTCTTTAACCAAGTCAAACTATACATTGTATAAACATGCATTTATCTACTATAAATCCAACTTTACTCATAGGTATCGAAGTTTGACAGAAACATAACACAAATATGAATCTTCACAGGCAAATGAAGAGAGGACTCATGCATGTGAGCCAGGCCAAAGTGCAAATGAGCATGTTGATGTCATGTTCAAACACAAATCCTCATGCACAGTAAACATTTGCTTCTGCATAGCACAGCAGCCGCCGCATCAGCTGCCTGCTCCTCTCCACTACAGCAAGGCCTCTGGGAAACATGGAAATGAAATGAGCCACATGGCCGCCTGACGGTGAATTCTCATACAGACACTGTGAGTCCAAATGCTCCCCACCATTTTCTGCGATGGAAGAATGTCGATGTAAACTAAGAACCGCATGAATGAGCAGGCAACAGGCAGAGAGGACACCGGCTTCATGTCCAACTCAAAAGGCAAGAGACCACTTCAAGTGTCTTACAGACAGGGTTGATTGTTTTGAGGTGCAATCACGAGACGCTTGTAAGGTCATAACTGAAAGCAGCGAGGTCACTTACGCCTGCAATCTGTCCCCCGGCCAACATTAGCTGGGTTTGAGGCAGTACACTCTGCTGGGTGGAGCACCCGAGTCTTCAGACTTAGACTAGTAAAAGTAAAGTAGAGAGGGCGACTTAATTTTGTGTCAGAAGAACATGACACCAGTCGTTTTAATTAAAAGGCAACATCTAAAAAAACAACACAAAGTAAAAATATTTTCCTTACTACCTTTATGGCTTTGTTAGAAAGTGCCTTTAGTCGGAGCAGTGACAGGAATTTAAATTAAAACGGCAGCAATAAAGTGGATATTTAAAATGTGCCGCAGCCTTCAGAGACAAGAAGAGAGGAGAGCAAAGTGTTGGGAGKGGAGAGCCGAGATGCTAATTAAAATAACTGTTATGCAGAGCATGTAAATTCTGCATWGATTTGCATACTCTCGGCCATCTGTTTCCGAGCAACCGCAGAGCAGCTAATTAGCATACGGGGTTGATTAATCTGCCTAGTTGCCAGGCGACACTGAGAGAGCCTGGCTCATTTAAATGAATGCTCTTCGCTTGTGAATGTTTGTGTGCCGATAAGCATAAACCCTAATCAAATTATATTAATTTTGCTTTTTGTTTTTGTACCTTTTTCCATATTTTTAGTCATTTGTTTACTTTAAAGAAACAAAGCGAGTCATTACTGAAAACATCTGTTGCACACCTGCTCTTTCAATAAGGAAATAAACGAACTGGAAAACAAGAAGCAACTGAGGGTGAAGACTTTTTCTGTGCATGTCTGATGTGGTACCTGTTGGAGGAAGGAGTGGGGAAGGGCATTAGCAATTGTGGTGGGCACCGCCTGCCTCTGAAAGTCCAATCCATTGGTTTGGATTCCTGAGGAAAGAAACATGATACTGAAATTAACTCTATCAAATATTGTTGTTTTTTTATTATTATTATGACCGTGGTGTAACTGACAACACAACCTACACTGGTAATACAAAAGAGGAACACCAAAAGCCCACTGAAAGCTAAACGTTTTCAGATTTTAGCAGTATTTCTATTTTCTGTTTAAAGAACTAAAAGCATGCAATACTGTTAGTTCAAATAAATTTGTTGTCATACAGAAAGATAACACTTGTGAATTTTTAACATTTGTTGCATAAAACCATCCTGAATCACTTATTTATATAAATAGTGAGATATTCAGTAGACAAATGCTACTAAAACTGTTTTATGAGGAGGGTTAGCTGACAACCTTTTTAATAATTTCAGGATTAACAAAACTAACTGCTTTAATTTATGCAGTAAATGTGCAGTGGTTTTTTTTTTATTTTAGGCTTTATTTAAAAAACCTGCAGAAATGATTTCAGTCCTCTAGGGGAAAAATAAACACATTTAAGGGTACTTACCGGTGTTCCCTTCACCACTTTCCATTTCACATTTAGTTTCTGACTTCACTTTAGCATCTGAAAGAGCCACAAGGAAACATAATGAGATACACCCACATTTATTCTAACAACCCAACTCCTATTTCTGGAGGACAGTCCTATTAGACAAAAACATTTAGACATTATTACCCAAAAAAATGTATAAAAGATTGATAAATGAAACTAAAAGTAAAAAAAAAAACACTTGATATGATAAACTGAAACAAATCCTGGCATTTTCATGCAAATGAATCAGATTAACATTTCCTGTATAACACAATGTCTCCAAGCAACAATAAATCCCTGCTGAGCTCCATTACAACCTCATCAAAAACTCACCCGCTCTCGCTCCACCTGCATTTTCTAGCATGGCTGCTAAACCTGTCAAGTAAAACTGCCTTGGYGGGTCAGGATGTCCAGCACTGGCTTCTTCCTCTCACCCCTCCCTGTTTTCACTCTCCACTTGTCAGCAGCGAGCGCTGTTTCAATGCAACCACAGGCGCACGCAGACACGGTGGCGGTGTCCACCACACGGTCTGCTGAACAACACTGGGATACGCACGTTGGGAAAGCCAACAGGGTTTAGGCAAACAGCTCTCCTTGCCTCCCACTTTTCTTTTCTTATGGCTCTGCCCCTTTTTTTCCTTCTACTCTGCCGTCTTTGCACTCCCCTCTCTCTCTCCAAGATTGCCTGTACTTCTGAAAAAGTTCTCCTTCTCCCTCTCTTGCTGGAATGAAACAAACGACAAGTGCAGCTGGCGGCCTCCTTCAACACCCCCACTCCTCCCTCCAAGTCTATAATGAAGCATAATCAGTATTCAGCTGATTAAAGTCGTATGCAAATCTACCCCTGCCTCGTTAGCAATGCAAGGCTTTGAAGTCCTGCGAGCAACGCATTTCACACCAGGCTCTGAAAGCTTTCTGCATAATTTAAACCCCTATAAATATTTATCAGCTCATTAGCATATTAATTGGATGGCTTTTGGAGGACGATAAAAAACGGGGGAATAAGGACGAGAGAAAAAGTGCTAAAACTAGCACTTGGGGAAGCAGAGGGAAGGGAGGCAGCAGCACAAGCCCAATTACCGTGAGAGTGCAGGCCTAAAAAGTAATTAGCTAAGCGCAGGTAAAAGGCTGAACATATCCAGTGTGCAACATGAGGTCTGTCAGCAGTTATCTACSCAAGTTAGGAAGGTGAACTTCATTGATAGAGCAGGAGTCATGGAGACCAGGTCGAGCTGCTTATAGTGGAGGGTGAGAGGGAAGGGGAGGGGGACTCACTCAATCGGAAATAAATAACTCCACATTAATCCACCACAAGCTTGTCATTACTGCAAGAACCCCTGTGGCTAAAGCATTCCACAGCGCCTGACTGCAGAAGGTGGGTGGCGGGCTGCTGGCGTCTATGTTTATGAAGTGTTTGGGGGATTAACATATTTAGATTAGTTTTACATTCCATTAGTGTTTCATTTTGGGGTGCTTTTAAATTCATTTTCAGGACGCGCTGAGAGTTCATGCTAATACAGCCCAGTTGTGGGGGGCTGCAGAGGTTTTCCAGTGAATCTGGAGTGGAATGCAGGACTGTAAGTGGGTCTACAGGGGAGGGGGCTTTCCAACTAAACCCGCAACAACGAGTCCTGGCTAAAGCTCAGATCAACCTCTGCACTTATTTGCCAAAAAGGATTGTTGACATCAACAATGTTCAATACCAAATAAGTAGACCAGTTTTAAATGTAAAAATCCAAAACATCAGATATTTCTACATTTTCTTATAACAAATATAGCAACCTGCAGATGGTAACTTAGTAAATATTGTGACACAAATTGCGCCAAGAATGAAGTATGCACCAATTTGTAATCTAATTTGCGCAATTATGTCTCCCACACATCAGTTTCTTGTTTATCCAAAGCAGGCCAAGTGTCACATAAGGTGTAAAAAATATTAACAAGATGTTATCTCAACAAAGAATGCCTGAGAGTTTCTCAGACACTAATCTAGTCTTCAAGCAAACAAAGGAAAAAACAAAGAAGAAGTGAATAATAAAGGCAGTTATCAGAAGCACCCTCCRACGTATACAGCTCCTTGGTTGAGTGGCTTGCAAAACCTCGCTGTGGAACAATGCATTATACAAATATCCTGTGTAGAGAATTTTAAACCGTTATCTCATTAGCGCTGTAATATGGGAAGGCTGGTTGAATACTGCAGGGACGTTAATGTGAGCAGAGAAATTCAACAAGAGGGAGAGCAAAACCTAATGAGCACATCCCCATTCTGCATTACCACACTTATTCTTTAAGTTTAATACAGAATACAATCAGACCACTTTTTCAGACTTGGGCACGTATAAGTATCATGTGGTTTTGTTTTTAAAGATTGAGGCAGATTATCTTAATATTTGAGACAATTAGTTTTTGATGACCAGTAATGGGTCTAACGCCTCATAAGCTACCAAGGTATCTCTCTTGGGTGGTCATTAGGAAACAGTCTGTAGGCTAGGGGGAGAATTCAATCTAACCACATTAAAGCAGGATTTCTCAGGGACGACACAGAGGAATATTCAACTGCCTCCATTAAGTACATGAAGAGGTTAGGCACAAGACTCACAGCTACAGTTCAAATCCACATTTCCGTTAACCTTTTAGGGGATTGATATTTATTTAATTCCTGTTTATTACTGTAGCGTGTAAAACACCATCACTGACTGTTTATTCCACAGCTCTCCTCTTTTTGGGCCCATCTATTAAAGAGAGCAGAACAATTTTCTGAATAGTCTGGGGTTATTTGCCCCCACTAAGGCCTCTTTCTAAACAATAAGTGCAGTGTTTTTAAATCCGTTGCATAGAGTTAGTAGCTAACAAAGCTTTACATTAAAGACAAAAGTGTGCTAGTGATCTTAATTATGTCAGACACATGACAGCTATTACAGCAGAAACAACAACGTGGTAAATGTAACTTGTAGGTCTCRTATTTTTGTTTTGATTTTCCTCTAAATGCTTAGAGCCTGCTGTTATTTCTCATTAAAAAAGTTGTACTGATAACCAGAAATATTTTAGCCCATGTATATTTCAATTGCTCTATTTATAAAAGCCCATTCTTGCATGGCATTGTTTAGTGAGGAATGACTCACTTTAATAGAAATGCTTGGAAAAGAAACTAGTTTAGGTCCTGAGGATACAACAGAACTCTTATTATCCTCCACAGAAAAAAGGCAGCTTGTCTGACTGAAGCCTGCATGGAGGCTCTGAGTACTTTGAGATGGCATGTCCTGAATTTATTACAGCGCGTGTTGCATTATTCATAACAACTGTGTTTACATCAATGAATATTCATGATGTAACTACAAGGCTGGAATCAGGGTGGAACTGTAAAACTGATTAAATTAGAAAAGTAGCTTCAGTTTGAGGAAGACAGAATTATTTTTTTTTAAAGGAGCTCAATTTATTAAACYATTTTAATCACAAAAATTAGCAAATTCTAGGACAATTAAGATGTGCCAACACAAAAACAGTCTGTCACATGTGAAAAAAATATACATGAAATATGGCTACATAAACCAGTGGTCCCCAAACKACGGCCCGCGGGCCAAATCCAGCCCACCTCCCCATTTGGTCCGGCCCCCAGAACAATACCAGAGAGCATTTAGTTTTTTTTCATATATGTGTATTTATATTTGATTATAAAGTTGGACTTTTGCAATAAAATGTTCCTTAGTTATGAACAATTTTCATTATTAACTATTATTAGTTAGTAACTATTTCATACATAAACGCATATAACGTGACATTCTGTTCCACCCTTCTGCGGTCTGTGCCTCTATCTGGCAACCCCCAGAAAAAAATCCTAAACCCGTCCCTCTCAAAGAGAGAACGGAATAATGGTGAAAAGATTAGGTAAGAGAAAAATCGATTCAGAATGCAGGCATTTAAGCTGCAGTGGACAAACGATTATTTTTTTGTTCATCTGTAAAGAGGCGGTGGCGGTATTCAAAGAATACAATCTGCGGCGACATTATGAATCCCGTCACAAAGACAAGTATGATAGCTTGCAAGGCCAAATGTGAGCAAACAAACTCTCAAAGCTAAAAGATGGACTGTTAGCTCAGCAGAATACATACTGTGAAGAACCCAGAGAGGGTTATTTGATTGTGCTTTCTGGAAAACAATACATTTTTACATTTAGGCACTCCTGCAAAAGTCACACTTTTTCTGTTACAAACTGACCTACAAACACACATGGTCGCAGACGCGCGCACACGACACGCACACACAGGAGCGTGGGCTGAAGGAGAGGCTGTTCGAGGCGCTGTTAGCTGCGGTTTATTTACATACTTAAATAATAATCCTGTCCCACACCAGAGAAGGGAAAAGTTATGTGGCCCTTACAGGAAAAAGTTTGGGGACCCCTGACAAACACTTTCCTTGGCAATCAATTTGACAAAAAAAAAACAATAATAAAAAATAAAACCCAACCCAAAGCCACTATTGGTAGCAACACAAATTTAAATGCAATACGCTAATCCTGTTGTGGCTTAGTGAGGATGTTCTCATTCTTGATAGAGAGGAACGCTGGTTTGAGAGAGGAGTAAAAGAAGCCATTTTTGTGAAGAAAGACCATCCATCATTAAACAGAGGTGGAGGCCTCCGTTTTCAGTTGTCCCCCTCCTGCAGTGTGGCTAGAACACCTATACAATTTTTTTCTTTTTGATTTTTTACCTGGATTACTGAGATGCATCAGGACATGTTGTGGCTTAAGTTTCCACTTTGAGTTCTCCATAAAGATACATGTGAGGTATAAAACTACCGGTAAGTGAACTTATGCTACAAAAATCAGTATCTCTTACGCTTTAAAGTAGCTTTTTWTAATACTGCATTTTGACAAAATATCCAACATTTGCTCTGACAGATGGTCAACTCCCTCTGAGCGTTTACAAATCAATCTTTACATCATTTTGTCAGAATATTCATAGAAATAAATAATTCAGAGATATTTTAGAAAACATACTCCTGATCATTTTTAAAAAACTCGTCTTTAAAAAAGTAAAACTATTTGAGCCAAACAAATTTTCATCATCGCTGYTTTCAAATACTACTTATATACTTTGTTTATTTTGAGCATTTTACTTTTAATCATTTATAGGCTGAAGTTTAGTATTAAGCTAAAAAAAAAACATTTCAAGACCCAACATTAGTCTTAAAATAATTACCATAAAATAAATAGAAATTACAAGATAATTAGAGGTAAATATGCATGTCAAATAATTAACCTACATTTCCAGGTTGTGACAGTTAGTCACTRGAACAGACTTGTCTAAAATAAATTAAACAAGTAAAACTGTGCTCTCATGCTGTGTCTTGCCCGGTCATGAAACCCAGAGGGAGAATAATAATACAGAGGGGGGAGAGAGAAAAACTCCTGCCTCCTCCTGTTATTACTGTGGCCTTCCGGAAGTGGGCCTCCCCACCACTCCCTGTGCCTGGGGGGATACACAGGTACAATCTGAATTCAATACAGCTAACTCTCCCACCACAAAAGAAAAAAAAAGAAGCATAAAAACAAGTTTTCAAAAACCTATCAGAGAGCAACGGAAGTTGATAACTTGGTAGATGATTAAACCAACTAGATGCCCAACTATTCCCACCACAAGGGAAAAAATACACTCAGCACAACTTCATTCAACTTCCAGACAAAAGGCGACAAAAAAACACCACACAATGTAATTATCTCCAGCAGCTAATTAAATGTGATGAAGGTGAAGCAAACCTGGACTAATGAGCCACTCGGTCACTAATATTMCGACTGAGCACGTTTTTAAAAACGCTGCACAGTCCGTATCGCGATAAAGTATCGTGTTGTGTTGAGATTCCCCGGATCTCGGCGGAATAACCTGCTGAACTCCGCACTCTGGTCGAGGG